GGAAAAGAATGACAAGCCCAATTTTCATGAAACTTGGAGGTAGGTAAAGAACGGGCCTATAAGGAACCAATTATATTGGGGAGCAGATGCGAAATCACAGGGTGAATACACAAAATATTTTTCACTTATGGAAAGGGCCTTGGAGGAGGTCTGCGCTCTGCAGGTGCCCTTCTGGTTGTATGAGATGTATTACATCTTTGCTGGGAAAAAGAGCACTTTTGCAACAAATTAAAGTTTTTAACTTTAAACGGATATGTCACTTATGGTTTGCACCTTGTCCTGCACATCTAAAACGTTTTAATCATTGTGTTGCCCCTCTTTTTTAATTAGTGTTCAAGTGATTTCACATTTCAATGTGTTTGAAAGTAATTACTCTTTTTTAACATTCTCACCTAGGTGGAAAAACTGGATAACACCTCAAATGATCTTTAACACCGGGAGATATAGATGTAAGGAAATGGCACTTCTGTAACTATTCTTATTTCTAGGCTTCCAGAAGGCAAATCAGAGCGCCTATAATAACATGTTGCTTTACCAACATCCAGCAGCTACTGCGCTACAACAGTTGGTACATTACCAGGCGTGGATCAGTAGAAGCACTGTGGCTCTCTGAGTGGTCTTCAACCAGAGCGTCGCTTTAATGGGATCCTAGGGGCCCTACATATCAAGGATGATGGTCGGACAGGGAAACGCCTGTTTCTCTAGGAAATAATGAGGTCATTCGGTGTATAATGAGGCAACTGATGTGGGGTGGAGGGGGGCAGCATGACACAAGGGATTTCAGGCTCTACTCAACATCATTTTGTCGAAACAGGTTTTGGATTACAATTCCTTACCCTGTGTTGTCTCCCTTCCTCCCCCTTCTGCCTACTGTCTTTAACACACTGTAATTTTGTCGTGTCATCAGTACCAGCAGGGTGTGACAACCCGCTGCTTTTAATCATTCTCAATCAGGAGAGATTGTTTCTCTCTCTCTCTCTTCCTCTCTCCCCCCTCCCCTCCATCCTCTCTGCAGGACACAGACAAAATGGAGAAGAATGAAACATGTGCGTAACCTTTTCAAGGACAGCAATGAGGATGGGCCGTCCGGCTGGAAAGCACTTTAGGAAAAGAAAACCACTGGTGCGGTTAATACAGAAAAGAAGAAGAGAGAGAAAATAGATGAGGGGGCCTGAAAGCCGACTATGATGACTTCTATATATAGACGCTGCTGCGCGTGGTGAAGGCCTGCAACGCTAAGACGCCATGCTCTTCCAGCTAAAGGGATTTCACACAGAAAATGTGTGTTTCAGGGAGTGTGTGTGCACGCATGTATCTGCATGTGTGCATGTGTTTATTAGGAGCAGAGATTACACTGAGCGCTGCTGCAGACAAGAAGAGAGGAGAGGAGGAGGAGGCGGAGGAGAGGAGCTGCAGGAGCTGTGGCGTCCTTAATTAGAAAGCAAACAACCTCAGGCCTTATCCCTTACAGGATAAATGCTTATGTATTCCTCTGAAGGGCTATTATTACAAAACTTTTCTACTCAGCAATTTCCAGATAATTAAATGTTACAAGGACCTATTTTTCTTGCCAGGATTGTACAGGTTTCTTTTTTAGGATGCGCGTATTATTCATCGAAGAAGCCATCTTTTATTCTTCCAGGGCTGGTTTGTTAAAGAAAAGTAGGCTGCAAATGATCCCTTTAAAATGTTTTGAGTAGATCAAACTCTGAGTCATGTGAGGGGGGATTTTTGCTGTTATGGATATGCATGGATAAAAAAATTGGTTCAGAAACTCTTTAAATATTTTAAACAGGTTTTCTTTTCATCGTTATTTTTTAACTGATGCAATAATCTGTGTTTATTTGATCTGACTGATTCAAATTCAAGTCCATGTTTCATTATTTTTCTCAGATGTTTCTTAATTTAATATTTATTTATTTCACTCTCTTTCGCATGCGTATGGTTTCATATTAAATATTAGTTTTCAAAACCACCCGGTGCTTGTATAAATGTATTTGTTTTTCAACCAGATAAATATTTCTACAACAGAGTAAAAGCATTTTGCACACATGAGGCTGAAGGGCGATCATTATTCCTTTGTTTTTTTCTTCATTGATTTCTTCTTTCTACTTTTCAACTGAGCTGGCACTATCTGAGGTTGCCAACACTTCCATTAGTGAAAAGCATATGCTGAATTTGCCATCAGACTCATTTGTAATATATTCTAATCTTGTAAAACTTCTACAAAATGTGACTTTAAGTAAAGCTCAAATCACATCTAATAGATGGATAATGCAAGTTACCAGATATAGCATGTTCCACACACAGAATAAGTAATAAGAAATGAGAAATGTCATAGAATAAGTCTAATAAGGAACTAATTTTACACAATTATATTTTAAAACTAACAATGCTTCCAACACTGTTAATTAATTAGAATAATGCACTTCCATACTTCTAGTTGTTAAGACAAAAGTCAATGTAAAAGATACAAATAATTGAAACATAAGCATACATTTAAAAAGAATGAAATGTGGTTTTTGCACAAATGTCATTTCCCAACGGCGAAACAGAGTGGCATTTTTTGTATGTTTAACCAATGCGGGTTTATATTATATGTGAGGTTAGCCAATGGTCCCAACATTTGGTGCGCTTACTGCTGGGCAGCTCATACTCCCCTTGTCTCATTTTAATAAGAGAAACGTCTCCATTAGCTCCCATGGAGACTGTGAGTGGAGACGGAGGTAAATAAAAGACTCCTGATTGTGAAATAATGAGTACGCCAGTTGCTACTCAGCAGCCGGCTGCTGCTGTCAGCATGTTTGGAATCGCTGTGAAAAGAAGTGTAACTGGGGAATTATGGGAGCTATAAAGATTGCTATAAAGATAACCAACATACCACCTACCAACCACTTCACTTGATGAAAGCAGATTGGCAGATAGGACAGACATACCCTTGGCACATTAGTTCATTATGCTCAGAGATGATATCATTAGAGCATTAACAAGGTCATATTCTCTGGGCTCACACCCACTGAGATGAATGACAAGGGAATTGCCCCTGTCTCAAAGTGAAGCAACTGACTTGCTTTAGAAAATAATTATGTGTGATTTCACTTTCATTCAGGCCCTGTGAGAGACAACTGGTGCCGCGGAATCACTGGCCCTGTGTATAAAAACATGCTTGCACACAACACACACACATTTAAAATCAATAATACACCCAAGATGCCCTGGGTTGACTTGTCAATGCAACTAATTTATATTTTAACAGTTGGGGGCAGCTTTTCTGTATATTTCATGACCAGTCAGAATATTGGAAAACTTCAACCAGGTCACAAAAACCACTGGCAGAACCACCACATTTAACCATTTTTGTTATGTGTCGTCAAATGTGTTAGTTATGTTTATGTGTTATGTTTGTCTTTTCATGTTATTTCACGTCATGTCATGTCATGTCTGTCTATTTATGTCATTTCATCTCTTGTCAAGTCCCTGTGTTTCATGTCATGTCTCGTTTCCATTTCCTGTTTTATTTTGTACTTACCTCTTGTCTCTCATTTCAGGCCCTGTTACTTCCTCCCTTTGTGTGTTTTCCCGCCCTTGTCAGCGTCTGCCCCACCCCTGATTGTTTCCACCTATTCCTACCAAGCCCCCAGGAAGTGCGCCGGACTCTGATAAAAATATTCGTGCTGGCCAAACGGCGGTACTACACTCCCGTTTGGTTGCCAGGCCCGGAAACACTTTTACCCATTGACTTACATGGGGAAAGAATGGTCTGTAAATCGTTGGATAATTTTTTTTAAACTAAATAAACCACCCAGTATGAACACTTGTATAGCCGGTATAGCCCTTATTAAAAACATTCGTTCCTCAAGTTGTAAACATGTGCTAATAACGTTATTCTGAGAGTTATTTCCCTCTGCATTATGAACGCGCATCTAACCCACGGGACCGCGCCGCCCGGCACGTTCATGTGATGTGACGTATTCAGCACTACATGAGTTTTACCCATAGGTTTTACCCAGCGCCGTATAGATAGAAGAGTTACGACAGCGGAAGTCCAAAAACGGTTATCGTCACGTGGTTCATGCAGACGAGGATCGTTCCCCGGAAGTTCATGGCAGGCAATGTGAATGCATTGATAACAGGAGATAGAACTACGATTTTTTGGTAATTATTAGTGAATAAAGGTTTTGATTTGCAATATTTATACAACAAATCGATATGTGTATGTATTTACATCAATATGTTTTAAAAAATAAAATAGAATTAGCTAATATTAAGTGATAATATTAGGATTAGTGTGAACAACTAGTTTACATGTTAGGCTAACAGTGCCTTGGTTAAAGAGCCTGTTGCTGTTATTTATAGCTTTGAATTCTTTCAAACCAATATTATCTTCTTAAACTTGTATGGTAGTCAGGAGCATCACTTTCTAATGTTTATTGATATATTTAGAGGGAGGGGATCTCAAGGAATGCTTCAAAATTCAGATTAGATTAATTTCTACCATTTTCTTAAATTCATGGTAGTGTCAGTAATCCCATGGTAATTGGGGACACAAGTTATCTAAATGACTAATGTCATCTTTATGGCTTTCAGAAAGGACAAGAGACCGACAGGTGACTATCAAAGGACTAGCAGCAGCAGCAGCAGATGATGATGATGTTAAATGTGTTGTTTTAGGAACATCCATTGCAAATACATGGAATTCAATAAACATTGAATAGCATATCATGCAGTTTGTCTGTGCCTTTTCCTCCGTGTTGTCCTGGTTTGCTGTGCTGCCTCCTAGTCGCCACCATGGTTTGCTGTGCTGCCTGGGGATGCTCAAATCGCTCCGAGAAAGGAGTACGAATGTACGGCTTCCCCACTGACACAGAGCGGAGGAAAAAATGGCTGGCTCAAGTCAGCAGGAGCAATTTCACGACCAACAGCAAACAAATATGTGAGGATATTATATACAAACACTGCTTTTGCACATTTTCAACAAAACGAAAACCACGCCATTGGGAAAAGCTTAATGTTTTGTTTAATACAAAAAAACAGGGAAAGGCTTGAAAAACACAGAGTTGAGACTCAGGGTGCAGGGTGAGGGTCTCAATGCAGGTATTCAGGCTCCATTGAATCCCCCTCTGGTTCTTGTGCTGAAAGAGGGAGTAACAGACAGGAGAAAGGGTTATACATACCTATATAGCACACCTATTGGATGGGAAATAAGGTGTGGTCTTTGTTCCCAACTGAAGTTATGGAACTTTATTATTTGTGAGTTTAACAAAGTATGACAAATGGCATCAGTAACAGATGTGATATGAATTTCTATAAAGTTGTCTCACATTCTTGGTCATATTTTATATACAGTATGTAATGAGTATAACATGTCCAGTAAGTGTAAAGTGTTTCCTAATACTGTGTATTCAACCACTATGGAATATGTATGTGGGCAGACAAAACTGAGTTGTTCTGTGTGTGAAGTAACCTCAGGTCACTCCGCAGGCACATTTTGATGCAGACCAGTTTGTCAAGACAACAAAGGGCAAGACTAGGCTGAGAGCAGAGGCTATACCCACCATCTTCGTGCATCGCCCTGTGGTCAAAAAGAGAAGGGACCCTGCACCACGATTCACCCCGGGACCTGTATCTACAAAGCCCATAGCTCATGATCACAGCTATAGTGTGAAAGGTGACACAGGTATAATAAGCATGAACTCTTAGTAACAAAAGTAATTATTTCTTATTTTTAAGCGGTATAATATT